AGCTGAATAAGTTTGTGGACGACACTTGGAATACCAATCTGAATAAGTTTGTGGACGACACTTGGGTACTGAGCTGAATAAGTTTGTGGACGACACTTGGAATACCCAATCTGAATAAGTTGTGGACGACGCTTGGGGTAACTGATCTGAATATGTTTGTGGGTGACACTTGGGGTACCTGATCTGAATATGTTTATGGATGACACATGGAATACCCAATCTGAATAAGTGTGTGGACGACACTTGGAATACCCAATCTGAATAAGTTTGTGGACGACACTTGGAATACCCAATCTGAATAAGTTTGTGGACGACACTTGGGGTACCTGAGCTGAATAAGTTTGTGGACGACACTTGGAATACCCAATCTGAATAAGTTTGTGAACGACACTTGGGGTAACCGATCTGAATATGTTTGTGGATGACAATTGGGTAACTCATATCAACACTCGTAAAGATGATGGATTGTTAACTCACCATTTTAGATCTAAAAGAGTTCTGCAAACATCGTGGGTCAACAGGTCTCTTCGTTTCCATGATATCATGGTCTAAATAGATTATAGGAGGTAGATTTAAATACAATTTATAACATCAGAAAACGGTCTTGTTGACATCGTGACTTTAGTTCACACATATCACAAACATGTAACACTGAATTGCACATATATCAAATATAATATTGCACATTTCATAAGAAGTAACATTTTATAAATTCCAGAGCGTTTGCTATATTGCTGGAGTAGAGCGTACTAGTAGTACATATGCTTGTACTGAAACAATGTGACTTACTTTGAAGGCAGTCCATTTCTTTCCAATTGCTAGTGATGTGACGGACGCTGGTCCTGGGTCTACATGCCGATAGTTATAGATGATCTTTAAAGATAGAATAATGCACAATGGTAAAACTCTACCAGAAATGTAACTGTAATTCAGGCAAAGCAACTAATTGTAAGATACATAAAATGAAATATTGTTTCCGAGCAGAATGATTAACAATCATAAAAAAACTGTAATCTCAGTATTGACCCTTGGGTAACTAAAGTTGAAGTTATTGATATATAGTATATAGCAAACGTATTTTACACTGAAGATTAGACAACAGGTTTTACTGACATGTGCAATGACCAAAAAACAAGATATTGGTAGGGCTTAGTGCAAGTGACTAGCGTGGCTGCCATTATTTTAATATGTCTTGTATAACCTGATTTGAGTTAAATGGTTCACTTATTATAAGTATGAGTAATTATGCAAATTACTAACCTTCAGATTAGGATCCGTGCGGTCACTGTGTGAAAAACGTACACACTTGTCCAGCACGATAGATGCAACATTCGGCAACTTTTCTATCAATCTATTAAATGTGGTGAATCCTTCTTTATCATGCTGCGAAATGATTTCCTGCCATCTAATAGGGATATGTTCCAAATGAACATTATAAGTCAAACTTTTGTCATGAGCTTTGTCATAAAGCGATGTATGTGACACATTCACCATCATGTCATAAAGCAATGTATGCGACACATTCACCATCATGTCATAAAGCGATGTATGTGACACATTCACCATCATGTCATAAAGCGATGTATGTGACACATTCACCATCATGTCATAAAGCGATGTATGTGACACATTCACCATCATGTCATAAAGCGATGTATGTGACACATTCACCATCATGTCATAAAGCGATGTATGTGACACATTCACCATCATGTCATAAAGCGATGTATGTGACACATTCACCATCATGTCATGAAGCGATGTGTGTGACACATTCACTATCATGTCATAAAGCGATGTATGTGACACATTCACCATCATGTCATAAAGCGGTGTGTGTGACACATTCACCATCATGTCATAAAGCGATGTGTGTGATACATTCACCATCATGGCATAAAGTGATGTATGTAACACATTCACCATCATGTAATAAATCGATGTATGTGACACATTATCCATCGTGTCATAAAGCGATGTACGTGACACATTCACCATCATGTCATAAAGCGATGTATGTGACACATTCACCATCATGTTATATAGCGATGTATGTGACACATTCGCCAT